ATCGATGTGTGGTCAAGTTTGTTCCGCTTTGCCTGATAACCTGATAATTACAATGGCCTTGTTGCTGCACCACTGTGCTGGTAATTCGGCTGAGCCGCAGCTGCGCACTGGTCATCTTGTGTTCATTTGTGGTTTATTTGATGAGTGCAAAATAATCAAATGAGCGATCACTAACGTGGCATATCATGGCGTCTGATCCAAATGAAAGTTTTCATGTAATAATTGGAACACGATGTCTTGTGTCATTAATTTGTGAGGATCTTACGAATGATTTTGTGAAGTATGGCCGTATTTAAGATGTAGGTATACTTTGTGATGTATGACTCAATTCAATATATATGTTTTGTGAAGTATGAATGTATTAAATATGTATATTTTCTGAAGTATGACTATATTCAATGTGTCTTAAAATCAATGTTTCTAGTACACTAATCTGCTTCGCTGCAACTCCTGAACTATTTATGCATATGAGTGCTGGAATATATCCACAACACTGCTGGCTAGCTGACGTGTCTCTGCTTATGCTGATGTTTAGTGCAGTGATGATCTCGAAATTTTACACTAACTTCGCTCGTTGGACTTGGACAATTCGATAATAAAATGGTATTATTTTTTTCTAGTTGCATTTGCTTATTTGAGAGTCTAAGGATCATTAAAAGGTTTGTATAATACTAATTATTCATTCTTATGTTTAGGTTTTGGAGATTTCGAATCGAACACCTGCAAGCTATTGTTGATTGTTAACATCTAGTGAATATAATGGCAATATTTGTCCAGAATTCGTTTCTTACGCTCAAACGAATTCGCTTAGTTTTATACGTACAATTCGGGTCATGAGCGAGCGAGTGTATAACGGCGACGTTAGGTTTTCCGATTAGATTTACTGTAGCACAGAAGAGCGCTGCGGCCATTGATTGAGTATGGTGGCCATGGAAGGCCTTGTTTCAATTGTGTGCTTCTGCTTTATGAATGATTCAAGAAAACGCACTCTGCTCATCAGTAATCATGGTATTTAATCATAGATATAACGTACGGATATATCTTCTTGTATTTCTGTCGTGGCTTCTGTGTGTTGCTTTGCCTTTGTCTATCCTACCATTTATGCATGTAGGTTGTACAGTAACCTAGCAAATTTTAACGAGCTGGACTGAAATCTCTATTTGTTAACACACACTGGACATGGTGCGTGGTCACTTATGCTAATTGGTTGTTAACCAAACTGCATAACTCATCAGTGAATCATACAATCATACAATATGACACAATATGACTGTCGTGATACCTAGCCTAGTACACACACTCATTGGTTAACATGCCTGTGCTTAATGTTGGGTTTTCCAGTGGTTATAATCTCTCGTACGTCTACTTTAAATGAATCACACTTTGCTGCATGTGCTCTTACAATTCACATAGCGATAACTGGGTTAGACATAACGCATTGGCAAGTCTCGAAGCAAATTCGCAAAGTTGCTGTATTTGTTTGTAAAGCTTGAGCTTCTTTCTCGTACAAATTGAACAATATTTATACAAATATGTTGCTTTGAATTTTAAAAGCCATTAACCGTTGATGTTACTCGTTTTCGGAATGAAAATGAAATCACAGTTGAAATGGCGAAGCGTTCTACGAAATTATGTCCGAGGATGATAGGCATTGAAATGACTGGTCGAACAGTGACTACATTCATTCGTAACCTTCTCGTAGTTTCCTTGTTTTACTCAATTTTCCGAGGATGACGGACATTGAAATGTCTTGTCAAACTTTGACTGCTTTCACCCGTAATCTTGCCGTAGCTTCCTTGTGATAAGCCACTCTTGATAACCGTTGCCACTTGACTCTGGTATATTTCTGGGAAATCGCTGAGACCCGTGTACGCGTATAGAGATGTTTGCTTCTCTGCTATCTCTAGCCTTGTGATTTTTGCTAGTCTAACACGGACCTGTCACCCCAGGCACTCCATCTGGACCTTGTACTTCTAAACTTAACTTGTGAATGCAGGCATAATTTCTGTGAAGGCAACTAATTCATTCTTGACGCGTGGACAATTTTTTGCCACGGATGTTGAACCGACTAAAAAGTATTGAAAACTAAGAAAAATATATCAAGTTGAATAATATTAAATAATATTATTCTATCAATATTCATTGTCGTTATATTAATAATATTTCTTCCTTCTAGTTTAGCTTCCATTCATCTAAAACTTTATGTTGATTATATTTATTAGTTGAAAAACTTTTTGCTGGTATTTACCAGTATTATGTTTGATTTTTTCTTCTATTTTAATTTCTCGTTACGCATATACGAAATGAATAATTTTTTATGTCAAAATTTTAAATCATAACTAACATCATCGATGAAAACTGCGCGCACTTATTTCCACTCGTAAGTAATTTCTTCCAGAGGCACAATGTTTCTAACCTTCGTTGAGCATGAAAAGCATAAGGCCACAAGGCGCAGTTATATCCTAGCTAGTGCTGGTGTTAAGGTGTTGATGTTCTCAGCGACAATACTCTTGGTAGGAGGCTTTGTAAGAAGCTTGTGTAGGTGGCGTCGACGCAAATGAAGAAGCTACGAACCAGTCGAGGAGTTGCCTGCTCAATTGAAAGACTCATGCCACTATACGCGGTCAGTTTGGCCTGCCCCGACTGGTTTGACGAGTTCTGCCTTTGGGAAGTACCTACCTACCTCCTCCACCGGCCTCGTTGTCAGGCGAACAAGATGACATCGGTTAGCATGTGTGAGAGCCCTAAGCTAACTGCCTATTATGAGGAGTTCTCTTCTCTGATGTGCCTATCGTGCTCTCACGACACGGACCTGCTTGCCTCCATTCTCGTTTGTACACATTAGGGAACTAAACAGACAGCTATTTAATTTATACATCAGGTTTTCATTTTACGAATTACGTCTTGTGGGATTTGTTATTGATATTTCGTGTTCTAAATTTGGTTTTTGAAAAACAAGTGCACTAAATGCAAGATTGCGCGATTTTTTTGTTGGTTTTCACAGTGTGAAGACTTTGAAGATGCGCGAATTTTTTTTGTTGGTTTTCACAGTGTGAAGAATTGGAGAACACCTAACGGTAGAGCTCGACGCGATGTGTTTCGCAGGTGAAGATTACACTCGTTAGGTTTGGACATCGTGCTCCGTTTGACTATTACTGGTATTTCTTAGTTATTTTATGCTGTAAACCTGAAAAAATCTCGAAATTATTTCACCATTTCATTAAAATGATTTATTTACAAGATATCAGTAAAAATAATTTAATTTACTTCATTTTGTTTCAAAACATTATGATTTATTATAAGACGAAACGGCCAACTGGAGGTGTTTACAGCCGCTGTGGTTCTCTGGAAGTGTCTAGTGAGCAGGCAAGGAGTCAACGTTCTGGGAATGGTAACCTCATTGTCCGGAGTGTCAGAGGCGCTAATATAGAGCTTGGCTGAGTGAGGTGCGTCGTTGCTCCATAGCCAGGACACAACAACCACCTCCCCACGCGAGGGCGGAGCTCTGTGTTGCAACCTGACCGTGATACCGATGATGCTCCGTAAGGCTGACTCCTCCTGCTTGCTCTTGTCCGTACCTGCTGGCTTCTGCTGCTCAAACCTCTGTATGCTCTGCTCTCTGTTGCAGCTGTGGCACTTGTGTCGCAGCTGCTGCGCGTGGCGCTGCAGCTGCGGTTCTTCTTCTTGTACTCGTATCGTCTCCATCACCTGTTGCGTGTTTTCTAGGTTCAATCAATAATTTAATCGGTACAAAATCAAGTCGCTGTTGCCATTTACCCACTTAATTTTAACTCTCGAAATAACCTTCTCTAAACTCGTTGCAATTACTTCTCCCAAACGTATTGCCTACTGATTAAGTTTTGTCTACTACAGAACTACGGACTAGATTCAAGTCTTCTTGAGAGCGATACTTATCTATTTCTACCATGCAACCTTCCATCGTAAATGTATATGTGAAGAAGACAAATGGTGATCTCTTTACTTGGCTACTGCAAAACAGAAGGAGTCTGAAACACACTGCTGCCGCCTCGAGAGTGGCGTTGCCAGCGAGAGGAGCCGTCGGGGCCAAAGGTCACGGGGAAAGTATCGCTACGAACGGGCGTGCGCATGCCAGCCCCTGCTGCTGCCGCTGCTCTGACGCGCACTGCGTAAACCAGGAGAGCAGTATTGCTAGAGTCCTCCTCGGCTCATCATAACTACGATAATGATTACAGTATGCGTCCTTAGTTAGCTAAGGAATTTATGAGAATTAGGCCATTTTTAGCCCATTTTCTCATTTATGGAAAAAAGGCGCTATTGTGCTCGTCATGTCCGTCTGTCTGTCCGTCTGTCTGTCCGTGACTTCACGTTTTCATCGACGAAATGAGCTCTCTGTCACTCACTGCAGAGAGCACTGATCTATTTTTTTTTGTCTTGTTAGCTTCTGGTGTAGGTACACTATTTAGTGATTAGCATCATGGTATGTTGTCTGAGTAATCTACTAATTAGGTCTCTGGCTCGATTGATGAAATGGCTGCCAGTCAAGCATTTTCTGGACATCGATTGATTTATTTGTGTTTATTTTAAACCTTGTTTTGTACATTTGTTCTAAGAATGTCTGTTAGAACTCGTTTCATTGGTGCTGTAGATCTGGATTATCTTTCTTGTTCATTTACGAATGAATGAATTTTTGGAAAGCCCTTTTAGTTTTCGAGGAATGTCAAGTTTTGTATAATTTATTGATTATTATTGATTGATTTTTACTTTACTATTAGATTTTTTAAAATTATTGCCTCTATTTCAAGAAATTTAATAGCGTCAAATGCTCCTAGATTTTACATTATCGACAGTTCTCCTTGCCTTTGACATTTTTTCGACTCATCTTCCTTAGCTAATTTTCATTTACACGACTATAATTATTGTCATTGATACAAATTTTTTACTTTAATTGTCAAGTATTGGTTTGATTTTGATAATGGCTAAATCTCCGACATATTTAACGTTTTTTCTTTCATTCACAGGGTCCGAGATGGCAGAGAACGGTGAGTAGCGCCTCTAGCTATTTCCGTTTGTGGTATTAAAATCCATATTTACCATATCTGTCCGGTCTATGGGCAACTACGCGATAACATCATTAAGAAGCTTGAAGCATTCTAATATTGATAGCAGTACCTTGAGAAATTAATTTAGTTCTTTAATTAACAGTACAGCAGTTACTCAAGATTAAACATTATACTCAGGACGTTATATCGGTTATATTTAGTAGAAAACGTTACGTATATATAAAATAAGTCTTCATTTCGAATAGGTACGAAAAACTCTTGATATTGCAAAACATTTCTGTTGATCTTTCTATTCATCAAGCGGCATTTCTATTTTGAAGTCGTTGTATGTTCAATTTTAAACGACTTACTGCATTATTTGATATTGAAATTTTATTTGAAGTAGATAATCGACTGATGTGCATCAATATATCTTCCAATTACGCGCTCTACCTAGTGTCGTGGGCATATTGGCATGCCATTTCTTGCCACCTGTATCTCCTTGCACCGTTGAGAAGTCAGCAATAGAGGAAAGAATATGAAGCCACTTGTCCGCTAGTGAGGTAGCAGCTCACTCTCGAGTGTACTCGCTATTATTAGGCGGCGTGAGTGAAAGAAAGACACGGACGGGGACATGGGTTGGGGGTATATGATGTCTGGTGCAGGGTTTGGGTGGGGAGAGGGGGTGAGAGAGCGCTTGTCTTGCTGTGTTCCTACAATAGTGCTGCCGCTGCTAGCTCGGCCAGGTGCTAGCTATGCCAGCGCACTCATGCTTGCTACCGAGACACCTTTAAAGCGTCCCCTGACCAGCTGCTCCGGCTGTGCCTTACTTACCTCCGCGCTCCACTCTCTTCCAACTATACTGACTAAACATTATGAAATGTGAAGTTCAGACGTACAGTAAGACTAAACATTATGAAATGTGAAGTTCAGGCGTAGAGTGAGACTAAACATTATGAAATGCGAAGTTCAGGCGTACAGTGAGACTAAACATTATGAAATGCGAAGTTCAGGCGTACAGTGAGACTAAACATTATGAAATACGAACTTCAGGCGTAGAGTGAGACTAAACATTATGAAATGCGAACTTCAGGCGTACAGTAAGGCTAAACTTTATGAAATGCGAACTTCAGGCGTACAGTAAGGCTAAACATTATGAAATGCGAACTTCAGACGTCCAGTAAGGCTAAACATTATGAAATGCGAACTTCAGACGTACAGTGCGACAAAGTATTGTGAAATGCGAACTTCAGACGTACAGAGGCGACTAAGTGTTGGGAAATGCGAACTTCAGACGTACAGTGCGACAAAGTATTGTAAAATGCGAACTTCAGACGTACAGTGCGACAAAGTATTGTAAAATGCGAACTTCAGACGTACAGTGCGACAAAGTATTGTGACATGCGAACTTCAGACGTACAGAGGCGACTAAGTGTTGGGAAATGCGAACTTCAGACGTGCAGTGCGACTAAGTATTGTGAAGTGCGAACTTCAGACGTACAGAGGCGACTAAGTGTTGGGAAATGCGAACTTCAGACGTGCAGTGCGACAAAATATTGTGAAATAACGTTATACGGACAGTGCGACTTGACATGGAAGATGAAATTTCGACGTACATCGGTACTAAAATGGAATCTAAACTTGAGGCATGTGGTAACACTAAACCTTGATAAATGGTAACATAAAACGCAGGCGTTCAATTTAAATTACGCAGGCGTTCAATATAATTTTATTTATTTAAAAATATATATAAAACGCAGGCGTTCAATATAAATTTGACTTGAGTAATGCCTAATGTTTGACGTCACGATGATGGTGTATCATGATGAAGTTTGTAAACAAAAGGCTATGCTTTGAGAAATTCGCTAATAATTCCGCGAATTGTTATTGATGTAAATCCAAGTAAATTGTAAGATTCTGCTTGAAACATCACTTATTCGAAGAGTGATGATACCATACGAGATATTCAATGCATTGACATTCGTTCTTTCATCTAGCGAAAAGAGGTGATTTTCGTATTGTTGCTCTAAATAAGAAAGGTGTAATAAGGAAAAGTCAAGATTTGTGGCACAGCGCGAAGAAGAAATACTTCATAATTATCTGTATAATGTTTGCATGGTTTAATCGTCCTGTGTGCACTATCTGCAGCACCAGATGCACTCGTCAAAGCCACCATGTACAGTCGCTTCTTTGGAAATCCTGTCATGAATGCGATGATTGGCGGTGTGAGTGAATTGAAGGACTTTTTCATAACTAATGCACTAGAAAAATTGAAGTAGCCCAGAAAGTTTCACGGGAACATTGCAGCTCTTTCTGGATTGTTCAGTTACTCTGTTGACTCTTTACTTAGTGAACAATTTTTGTAGGACATGAGTGATACTTAGTCTTTGTTCAATCATGCAATCCAAACTGAGTACTCGTTGTTCAATTTTGACCCTCGTTAAATATGCGTTAAAGCTTAATAATTTAGTACCTTTATAGTGCAAAAAAGAGCGAAATTAGGTTGGTTCTTCGTTTTCTTAGGTACCTCGATAATTACACCGACCACACCCATGCGTGGTTGTTGCCAACAACCTGTTGTGTGTGTTGTGCAGCGCTACTTACCCGCCGAGTTGGCACCTGTCAAAGACTGAGCCTCTCATGACTTGGCACTCCGCAACTCACGGGCCTCTCACTTCACGGTCACTGAACACCGGAGTCCGCTGCTGCTACCACACTCCTGTCTCTTGTGATATCATCTATCGTTCCTCCGAGTCTAATACATGTTATTCCAATATTATATCCTTCCGAAACAATGCCCTATTATGGCTCATTTGCGTGGCCTAGTATTATTTGATAATTATGTTTATAAAAGTTAGTGGATAAAATTCTGTTTGGTGTAAACATTTGCCACACAGAACAAGGTTTGCGAACGTCTCAGGAATGGTTTCTTCAACCATTCCGTCACTGGTGGGGAACTGGCTAACGTTCCAACAATTCTGCCATCGTTGCCTGATCAGTATTATTGGCATATCCAGGGAGAAATTGAGCGGCTGATTGTGAGAGGATCAATTACTGTTGTGTAAAGTTCAAAACTTGCACGATTACACGAGTACGTACCTCTCGAGGTGAATTTTTATCGCTCGGCTACTCATGGTTGAGATGTGAGTAAGAATCACATGGTTTGACGAAGAAAGTTTTGATAATACGTATGCCAGGCTCCTGGTAACTTTATCGAATGTTCGAGAGCTACATAGCCGTAGAAGTGTTCAAACAAACGTGTTTGCTGATGTTTTCTACGGTTAAGGGTCAAACTAAGGGTCAAAAATAGAAAATTTGTGCTTTTCCGTTTTCTTGGCTCATTGGCCGCGTCTAACGCAGCAAACCGCATGTCTGTGCGTGCTCTAGTTTTTGCGCAAAGCATTTGTTCACAATATGTACAAGGATTACTTTAATTTAAATCCGTATGTATAGATCATTACTGTCGTTAATTGCAAAGTGTTTGCACTAGTTTGAAAGTTACAAACACGACGCGTTCAACAAAACTACTGCCATGGATGTACATGCAATAATTTTTGCGTAAGGCAGTTTTGAATGTTTACAAAATGACCATTTTATAACAATATTTACAAATTTTCATTGAAAAAATTGGTATTTATAGATCATTATTTGCGTTAATTGCAATGTATTTGCACTCGTTTGCAAGCTACGAACTATGCGTGTTCAAGAAAGTAAATATCACCGATGTATATGCAATGTTTCTTGCGTTAGGCCGTTTCGAACTTATATAAAATGAACATTTTATGTACCAGTATATAAATATAAAAGTCCCATTTAAAGCTTATTATTCACGCTAAGCTGGACGAGAATAAGTCTAAAGACGCGTGCTGGTACCCTAAATGCAAATAATTGGCAATGGGAAAGCTTTGACTACAATATCAAGAATTTTTTGGCTTATTTTTTTTTCAATAAATTTTACTTTATTTTGCTTCCTTGAACAATTAAAATATATGCAAAATACGCCATCTTAAAAACTGTATTACTCCTACAGTATTCAAGCTACAGCAATTAAAGACATATCATTCGATTCGTTAAGACCATACCTAGGGACTCTAGGAGCCTTTTTGGCGCATTTTACAAGACTTCTCTTAACTTCACTTCTTGTTGCTTCATGGTTTGACTTTTATATCTGGGGGATGAAAAACGCACATAAAAGAAAAACGATGAGGAAATTGAAAATCTTTTTAGATTACATCTATTTTTACCGTTTTCTATTAATTTCACGTTTTCTTTCATTTAAAAAAATTAATACGAGCAAATTGTTTTTTATTTTACATTTTTCGTATGTGTGTGAAATTTCAGAAAGATCGGTTGATAAATGTAGAAGTTTTTCCAGGACTTTGCTATAGGCTGGCATGATTGAGTCTTAATCAATGTCGTATTTAGCTTAGTAATTCAGTGTAGTCTGGTGCATAATTTTTGTTTTTATGTATTTAGAGATGATGGCTGAATGTGCTACCATTTTGTTTGGATATTCTCGACTATCTGAACTCGAACTTTAGTCCTAATGGGCTTTGATCGAGGTGGAAGCGTACGAGTTCGTTCTTGTAAGTGACCCATTCAGGGAAAGTTAAGTATAATTAATTGGTTTCTAAAATAAATTGTCATTGTTTCCAGATGGAAGCGATAAGACACGCTCACAGACCCAGGCTATTTTATCGGTAGGCATTGGATCACAGAGCGCACTAACAAATTGGTCCCCACGGCCGAGAAACAATGCCCTTATCTAGTGAAGATTGCCTTATGTTTGATAAAATCGTTGTTATAATTATTTCAGAAAATTCTGACTACGCTTTCTTCGATTCTTAGAACTGAAGTTTTTCCTGTGTAGAGACTTTGTTGTATAAAACAGACTCATTTGTATTAGTGTAATAGGATAAATACTGAAAGACAACAGGCTATATGTCGATAAATTCGGTAATAGTTCTGCAAATTGTTATTTATGGAAATCCAACTAAATT